CCCGCCTATACGCGCCACCGCGCCCCCTACGTCATGACCGTCGGGCCACCCTCTCCCCCACCCCACCCGCCTATACGCGCCACCGGGCCACCGCGCCCCCTACGTCATAACCGTCGGGCCACCCCCTCCACCACCCCGCCCGCCTGCCTGCGCCACCGCGCCCCCTACGTCATGACCGTCGGGCCACCCCCTCCCCCACACCTATCGCCTGCGCCGCGCCCCCTACGTCACGGGGATCGGGCCACCCCCTCCCCCCCGCGACGCGGACCCGCTTATCGGGCGTCGCGACGCGTTACCACCACCGGTGGCGCCATCTCTCCGCTCGTTCTCTAACGCGGATTTTCTTCTACCGTCTATCACGATATTATAGTGCTAAAACTATTACCCTACTATATATATATATATACGTAAAAATACTAAAACATATACATATATATTAAAACCCTATACATATATATTAAAAACCTATACATACGTATTAAAAAACATATACATATATATTAAAAACCTATACATATATATTAAAAACCTATACATATATATTAAAAACCTATACATACGTATTAAAAACATATACATATATATTAAAAACCTATACATACGTATTAAAAACATATACATACATGTATAAAAACATATACATACATGTATAAAAACATATACATGCTTTTAGCAGGATACGAAGGCAAAAACTGAAGCGATTTAATTGTTTAAAGAATTCCATATTTATTCATGAAAAATATACATTATACATAATTTTATACAACTGCATGTTAGCCGACAACATCATACGATTTCGATTTACATCTACGGTCTTGACTATTATCGCGGGTATTACGTTTGACATTAAATTCATTATTAACATTTTCAATAAATTGCGCTCCTTTATATAATAATACGAACACACATTTAGGGTTGTACACGGCGTGTTGCTGCCAAACTTCGACATTTTCCTCAGCAGCGTTGAATTATTCCCTATATCACCAGATACCGGCCGCCGCCGCCGAAGCTGCCACCCGCGCACGTGTGTGTGTGTGTGTGTGTGGTATAGTTATCGCCGACCTCAGCAATATCATTATTGTTAACATATGTGTTAAGATAATATGTATATTGTAGCCGTGAATTATATATATATGTATAAATATATACACACATTGACCATATAACATATTATGATGTACCCGGATGTAGAGCGCTGACCGTTGTTAGCGGCCGATTATTTGCTAAAACGAAATGACCTACACCACGTCGAATACAGCTCAGACGGTCAACAGAGTTTAAACACGTTCCACGTCCTTGCATATTATATTCGCCTTCTCGTCTATATTTTATTATTATTATTTTACAACACTGTGCGCCGTATATTTTCGAAAATGTTTAACTGTGCGATATGTGATAAAGTGTACGTTCATAAGCGCGATCTAAACAGACACGCTAAATCCCACGATGGATCGACGAATTCTTGCGGGATATGTCTTAAGACGTTCACACGCCGGGACAAACTCAGAAACCACGTACAAAATCTCCATGGTAAGTACATTGTTTATTACGACGTCGATCCGAAAAAACCTCTGTGCCATTCATATATAGTTACTCGAACTAACATTTTCGAATTATTATTATATAATATTAGAATTCTACACATACGATGTTTTTTCGGGCTAATAACGTCTTGCTTAAATGGTAGTTATTAATTAAATTATTATTAAAATAGCGATCGCTAAAAACACTGCAGACTTCCATAACGCTGTACGGATAGGTGGCGGTGCAATGGGTAAATAATTTTTTTCTCTTATTAATAATAATAATAATAACAACAATATCTTAATATCAATAATCTATGCTAGGTCGCGCTTCAGTCATAAACTGGGCGCCCCCCACTACTACGCTGCACGTCCAGCCAGATGTTCTGACTCCGACGGTCATCTCGACTCGCCGCACGGACACACCTACCCCTCCTCCTCAAGCCTTGCCATCCACCAGCATACCGAGCATCTCGACCGAACCCCCCGCATAGGTTATCAATACCCAACCCGATGCAAGATCCCCCGGTACCACCGCACTACCACGACCGGACTCGCCCCTGTCTACCGAAGAAGGCGTGCCTTACACCGAAAATACGAGGAAAAATATCAAACGAAAAAAGGTGCGCATGCACACGGTCAATACACCCGGGTTCGTCGAGATCGAGTCTTCACTTAACCGTGTGGTAGTGTGGTATTTTAGGAAGAATGTAGATAACGTAGCTAGTTATCGCGCTTTCCTCACATCGATAGAGTCAGAATTAATTGCAAAATTATGCGAATGCACGCGTATTCATCCGATAAAGTACAATATTAAATTAGAGGCTACCTACGTCGTGCCTAACGTGGCTAATAGCGCGCAGAATCGTGCGTTTAAGACGTCGGCAAAGGAATTATATGCACACAGCAATGTCGCAAGTTCGGTCGATCGAAATTTTACGAGGCTCCTGGCCGAAGAAGACGCGTACGAGGGGAAAGGTAGCGGGTTCGCCTTGTCACACATCGACGGCTTGCTCTTGGGTGTGTACGAGTACACGCCTTTGGGTGGATCGTCGTACTTGCCATTACCGGAAAGCATACTCAGTCGGAAAGCTGTCGTTAATCCTAAGAATGTCGACCAACAATGCTTTAAGTGGGCGATTTTGGCAAAACACGTAGCGCAAGATAATCGCACACGAGTAGGAGCGAATTATTCTAGCGAAGAACACCGCTATGACTTTTCCGCGCTATCAATCCCCACCCCAGTGTCAGAAATAAAATTATTTGAGCGAGCTAATCCCGGTACGTCAGTAAATGTATACGGTGTAATGAATTGCAAAAAATATAAAAATAAAAAATCTTCAACGCAATCGCTCGCGTATCCGCTGAGGGTGACCGACAATGAGCTGGCGAATCATTTCGACTTGTTGCTGATTACCGGGAAGAATGGTGAAAATCATTACGCATACATTTCCAATTTTTCGCGGTTAGCCAGCCTCCAAAAAAATAATCGCGAGCATCGTTTATTTGTATGCAAAAAATGTTTCACCAGCTTCGACGACCAGCCTTTAAAATATAAATTACACGGCGAGCGAGCTTTGGCGATACATCGTTTGGTGTGCGGTGCACACAAGCCGGTATTACCTTTAATGCCTAAAGAAGGGGATACGCTAGAGTTCAAGTCGTGGTGTAAGACGGAACGTCTCCCGTTCGTAGTGTACGCCGACTTCGAAGCTCTTCTCCTGAAAACCGCACAGAAACACGGTGCGAATACTACGGCGATCCACACGCACCATCCTATGAGCTACGGATACTTAGTAGTCGCAGCGGAGGGCGTGCCAATGGAGTTGTTCGAGCAGTTTGGAATTCCAAGGACTCCCGTCGTTTTTCGCGGCTCCGTGACCGACGATGATGTGTCCGAGCGATTTGTCCGGGCAGTCCTCGACGTGGGCGAGAGAATAAGCAAGTTATATAAGACGGTCAACGTACCAATCATCATGAGTGTCGATGATTGTCGCTTGCACGCGAGCAAAGCGTTGTGCGACTTGTGCTTGAACATTTTCACCGAACAAAATTGTAAAACTGCACACCACGACCACTTATCTGGACGTTTTTTGAAAACTTTGTGTAACTCGTGTAATCTTAAATTGAAAACACCGAAATTCGTACCGTGCTTTTTACACAATCTTTCAAACTATGATTCGCATTTTATCGTTTCACATTTGTCATGTAATAATAACGCGATTTCAGTGATAGCTAATAGCGAAGAGAAGTTCATTTCGTTCTCAAAATATATAAATAATACGTTTTCTATAAGATTTATCGATACGTGTCGATTCATGGCTTCGAGTTTGGCTAACCTAGCGGAGAACTTAACGACAACAAACTTCACCAAGTTTCGCGAAGTTGCGAAAGTATTCACCCCGGCGGAGATGTCGCTGACCACACGGAAAGGAGTGTTTCCGTACGAATATGTTGATTCGTGGGACAAGTTGAACGAGACGACCCTACCGCCCAAGATCGACTTCTTTAGCACGCTGACTGAGACACACGTCCGCGACGAGGACTATGAACACGCTACTAGGGTGTGGGATCATTTCGCCTGTCGCAACCTTGGCGATTACAGTGACCTATACCTGAAAATAGACGTCCTGATCAGCGCTGATGTGTTTGAGAATTTTCGCGAGCTGTGCATGTCAACGTTTCACCTGGACCCGGCACAATATTACACCTCTCCCGGGTTCAGCTTTGACTGTATGTTAAAATTCACTTCGGTGAAACTTGAACTTTTAAACGACTTTGAGAAAGTTTTGTTTCTCGAAAGCGGTATGCGCGGTGGCTTGGTGCAGGCGAGCAAACGCTATGCTAAGGCTAACAATTTCAAGACGCCCGGATACCGAAACGATGAACCCGGCACTTGGCTCGTATACCTGGATGGTGATTATAATTATAATATATATATATATATATTGTATGAATATTAATTGTTGTTGTTGTTGTTTTTTATGTATATAGCTAATAATTTATATGGTTATGCGATGGGAAAATACATGCCGATTAGTGATTTTACGTGGTATCCGGGAAATCCCGAAGTGGCGTTGGCCCAGCTCGAGTGGATGACGGAAACTGATGATTTTGGTAGAATCTACGAAGTCGATTTATTCTATCCACAAACTTTACACGACTCACAAAATGATATGCCGTTCTTACCGCACGCTAGCATACCACACTGATCCACTGTCCGAAAGCTGATGGTGACATTCCTACGAAAAGAACACTACGTCGTTCATTATCTAAATTTGAAACAGGCCATGGCCCATGGTGTAGTAGTCGAAAAGGTTATTATTATAATTATTATAATAATAATAATTATTATTATTATTATTTATAGCTGATTTATGCATTCCAGGTACATCGAGTGTTGGAATTCCGTCAATCTCCGTGGCTAGCTCCGTATATCGCGCTCAACACTGAGATGAGGAAACGTGCCACCAATAAGTTTGAAGAACAATTCTTCAAAGATTTAAATAACTCCGTGTTTGGTGCGTTAGATTATTTTCACTTCAACTTTAAACTTTAAGCATAATTTCATTATTATTCCTCTATAATATAATAGGAAAGACTATGGAGAATATGAGACGTCGTGTAAAGCTTGAACTCGTAACGCGGCCTGATAGACTACGAAAGCTTATCAACCGTCCGACGTTTAAACATTGTACAATTTATAACGATAATTTCGCCGCGGTCACTCTAGACAGCAAAGTAATCGATTTCTGTAAGCCCATTTACATCGGGTTTGTAGTACTCGAACTAAGCAAAGTTCTGATGTACAATTTTCATTATGACGTGATGAAACGGCACTACGGCGAAAATATTAAATTGTTATACACCGATACAGGTATGCATTGAATACTATTAATACCTTAAATAAAAAAATATAATATTATAATAATAACTATTATTATTATAGATTCGCTTTTCTATCAAGTGGCGACTAAAGATTTTTACGATGACTTGATCAACAATCCGAACTTGATGCTGTGCACGGACACCTCTAATTTGCCGACTGATCACAAGGGTTACGCGGGCGCTCGGAAAAGGATTCCAGGATTATTTAAGGACGAGGCCGCAGGCAAAACTATCTACGAATTCGTCGCGCTGCGCGCAAAGTCATATGCCTACGACATGGAGTAGGAAGTAACAATTCGTGCGAAAGGCGTTATGAGACACGTGATCAGAAATCACCTCACGCTCGCCGACCATAAACGTTGTTTATTCGCCAATGCGGACGACGACGACGACGACGTCGCGGAATCCGACGAACGCGACGACGAGTTTGACACGCACATGGGGAAAATGATCGCGGCTGATTGTGCACGAAAAGCCGTCGCGCGGATACACCGGAACGTCGCAGCGCCACCGATGCATTCCTCACCGGCACCCATCATACACCCGTCGCACTGTTACAGCTATATGCCTTTCACGCCGTATAGGGAAAATATCTCTATACGTTCGTTCAACCACGAACTTCGTACGATCAAAACTATGAAGCTCGTCTTAAACAGGGCAGACGATAAACGACATATTCTACGCGGTAGAATAAACACGCTCGCGCACGGACATTACCGTGCGATATAATGAATTATTGTTATTATTATTATTATTATTATTATTATTATTGTTATTGTTAAATTACCTCATATCTGTATATTATAGATATATTATATATAGAATTTGTATATATTGTACAATCTTGAAATACGCTCGTTGTATATATAAAAATATGTGAATGTACGATGCTAACTAAAATATTATATTAACACCGTTTTTATATTTAATCTCGTTTTTTTAAATTATTATTATTATTTTAGTATCGCAACCTAATCTTCTCATCCTTATCATATTTTACCTCATCTTTATCTTCTCATCCTTATCTAATCTAATACTCACCCTTATCTTACCGAGGTCTCGTCAACATTATTATTATTATTATTGTATTATTATTATTTTTAAAAAACCCCCGCCCATTCGCGGTGTGATAAGAAGCGGGGCGAGGATATTTGATATGCCTACATATACGGTGTTCTGATGGCTAGCACTTCTCCGTCAGTCAGTCAGTCAGTCAGACTTTGGAGCTAAACATTTACTCGCGTGTAATAGTGATATATTAATATGTCGTCAGAGGAGTGTTCGTTTTTCAACCATGTCCCCAAGACTCGATGCGTGGTAAGTTTTATAATTTTGTACCACTCTACTAAAATTAAAATTTATTTTATTTCATTTTTAGTCACCTAATTTATTCGCGGAATCGCACGATCCGCGCAATTACACGTTACAAGTAGTCAAAGTCGAAAAACCCTCCGACAATTATTCGTTTGGGTTTCATGCAGGACAGAGATTTCCGTGGAAATCACCAGACTCGAGCTCGCCGTTACCTATGCTACACCTGATATCTGGACAATTCCCCGACAGTGGAGAAATATTAAGTGAGTCTTAATATATATATATATAAATAAATTTGCTACTTTTAGTTTTTTTTTTTTTTTTTTTTAAAATAAAAACTAAATCGCGTGTCATATTTTCAGACGATGCACAGTCTTTTCATCCGAGCGGCATTCATTTGTGGGATGACAGCCCCCCTAAAGAAACTCTTCATTGGAAAAAAATATTGATGTTGAAATTTGACACGGATATGTATAATTATAATCCTATAATGTTATTTAAATAAAACTGTTTGGCGGTAGCGAGAAAATACGACTGATTTAATATTCGATGGCCAACGGTCAGGCGCCCGAAATTATCGTCATCGACGGCCGCTCCCACCTACACCGTTCGGCGTGCGCAATATTGAGAGGGTACACCGATTGATATACACACATGTGTAAATTACAGTGAAAAGGCTCGATCTCCGGGCGGATCCTGCGCGTCGTATACCGGGATGTATCGGACACCGCCACCTATGCCGAGCGGCGCGCGCAATATTGAACTGGTTGACCGATTAATATACATGTGTGATGTGTATCGAGAAAAGGCTTGATCCGTGAGCGGATCCTGCGCCTCGCATAGCTAATCGTAATGCACTGTTTTAACCGTATATATATATATATACGGTATATACCATATATATATGGTCAAAGAGGGTCGACCATGCGCATAGTATGGCAAGTCGCAATGTATAGTATTGAACACGATCGAACCTAAGGCCCTCCTCATAGCCACGGGTACATCGATTGATGCACACATGTGTGAGCTGATCCTGCGCGTCTCATATAGCTAATCGAAATGCACCGACTCGACCACACACACATATATATATATATATATATTAGGGTCAAAGAGGGTTGACCTTGTGCATGGTATTAATAATCACAATGTATAGTATTGAACACGATCGACTCTAAGATATTTGTGTAATAAAACGCAGTACACGATTATAGAGTATAATATATATTTTATTTCAGAAATATTATATACAGCAATTAAATTATATAATATAATATAATATAGTATATTATATTTTCAAGTATTATTTTTAAACCATTTCAATAATGTAAAAACTCGATTATATGTACATTGTGAACGATCTAAATCCTTATGATATAAACAACACGGTTGACGGTCTATATTTTCGTTTAACTGTCCGTGTAGTTGGTCTAGTCGCGGACAATCCAAATCCTCGCCCATCTCGTGAATTTTGACATCGGGAAGGAAGACTTGTATGATCTGACGCTTTTCTTCGCCTTTTACGTAAATGCATTCGAAATTTAACGATTTTAAAATCTTTCCTATTTCCGAATACTCTACGTCCCCGCAAACCGACGACAGTTGATGGTAATTGTGAAAAAACGGTTCCACGACAAAATATCCCGGTAAAAATATCCCGGTCAAAATATCCCCGACAAAATATCCCTAAACCAAAATATCCCCGACAAAATATTCCATGACAAAATATTCCGCGTAAAAATATCCCCGACAAAATATCCCCGACAAAATATAATATAATAGCTGTTGCGATTAGAAGTAATAATCGCACTTTATCTAATCTAGTAATAGGTATTCGTTATTTTGATAATGGTATTATAGTGTCATTTTATATCATTACCTACGTCCTACAGTGCGTGTCGTGAGCATTTAACAGTCTTAAATCAAATTTTTTAAGTAACAATTTTTATTTAATTATAAAATGCAAGAATTTGTTAAAAGCCAAAAAGGCAATAATTTACTAATATTTGAAGGATATTTATTCAGTATACACCGAAAGAGTGAAGAAAAAATAATTTGGCGTTGCACTGAGTATAAAAGAAAAAAATGTTTGACAAGATGTTACACAACTACAGACGACGAATCAGGTTTGTTGATTTATGATTAAATTTTAGGACGTGGATATAATAATATATATTATAATAAATATATAATAATAAAATATAAGAACTTTCGATACCATTGATCTTATAATATTATATGTGTAATCAACAAAACCCCTTCTTAAACCATGTGTAAAAATATATTACGGTTTTATCAGATTTTTAAGTAATATACAATTGATGACAATTGTAAAACGAATACTGCTCTTACGATTAATCTCAATAGGCCTGGATATAATAATATTTGTCATATATTGTCAAAATTTTTTCGTAGGGGAATTTCTTGGTAAGAGAGGAGATCATGAACACGCTCCAGATGCAGCCGGATTAGAATCAAAGAAGGTAATAGAACGAATAAAAAAAGCTAGTGATTCTAATCAGACAACAAGAAATATTATAAGCGAGGCATTTTCTCAGTCATCTATGCCAATTGCAGCTAGGTTACCTTCAACTGTTGCGCTTAGTCGAACAATTCAACGTTCTCGAAATCGAAATAATGTACCTCCACCCAACCCTGTAACTGTTGATTCTTTAGTAATACCTAGCGAATACACATTAACTCTAAGTAATTTACCTTTTTTGCTATATGACAGTAAAAATAATGAAAATTGGGATATTAATAACAGAATATTGATATTCACAACAAATGAAAATTTAAATATACTGAATGACTCCGAAATATGGTTCGCAGATGGAACGTTTAAATCTGTACCCAATATATTTAACCAACTGTATACTATTCACGGTAATATTGACTGCACTGTATATCCACTTATATATATATTAATGTGTAGTAAAAACGAAAATAGTTATTCCGAAGTACTAAATCAAATTAATATACTCAAACCAAATTTACAACCAAATGCTATTGTGATAGATTTCGAACAAGCATTTATAAAATCATTTAAAGAATTATACACTGATGTTAAAATACATGGATGTTTTTTTCATTTTACCCAGTGCTTATGGCGAAAATTGCAATCGTGTGGATTAAAGAATAGGTATTCTACAGACGCAATATTTTCCCACGAAATAAAAAAATTATCGGCTCTCGCTTTTGTACCCGTTGATAATGTTATTTTTGCATTTGAAGAACTAATTAACTCCGACTACTACGTAGATAATGAAGAAGAATTACGAACAGTTGTTGATTATTTTGAAGACACGTGGATTGGGAGACCAACACGTGGTGGTAGGCGAAGAACGCCTACTTTTCCAATTAAAATATGGAATATGTTTGATGCTGTAATGGAAGGCTCTCCCAGGACAAATAACTCAGTAGAAGGATGGCACAGAGCGTTTAATTCTGCACTGGCAGCTAACCATGTAACAGTGTGGAAGTTCATAAATATGTTAAAGCGAGAACAAGGTCTGCAGGAGGCCAAAATGGAGCAGCAAACAGCTGGTGCACCTCAACAAAAAAAAAAGGCGAAAATATAAAAATTTGGACGAGCGGTTAATTGCTGTTGTAAAAGGATATGAGGAAACTAATAACAATAAATATTTAAAATCAATAGCACATAACTTAGTATTATAATAAGTAAAAGTATAATAATTTTTGACGAAAAACATACCATTTTAATATATTTTTAAAAATGTTTTAATTAATTTTTTGTATTATATAAATGTATTAATATCTTCATGTAACTTATATTATAATAATAAGTGTAATCATTTTTGACGGAAAACATACCATTTTAATATATTTTTAAAAATATTTTAATTTATTTTTTGTATTCAGTAAATGTTATTTTAATTAATAAGTAATAATAACGCGGGATATTTTGTCAAGGATATTTTTACGCGGGATATTTTTTCATGGAATATTTTGTCGGGGATATTTTGGTTTAGGGATATTTTGTCGGGGATATTTTGACCGGGATATTTTTACCGGGATATTTTGACGTGTCACCTGAAAAAACCACATGTTGATAGCATTGACTTTTGATGAATTTTCACGCGTTCGAGTATATTTAAAAATCCAGTGTTGACTAGCCCAACCGTCTATGTCCACTATAGACATTTCTTTTATCAGGTACTTAGAGTTCGGACCCAGCACACACTGAATATCCAGAATAGCCGACGCCATCATACTCGTTATATTATAATATTTATATATATATATTATTATTATTATAACGTCTTACTAGCGGCGAACTTCAATGAGTACTGATATCCATCGACTCTATCCTCGAGCATAACTATCCTGGTGTTTGCGCGCGTCAAGTTAGTTTTCAAATCTTGGATGTTTTTACTAGCAATATCGGCGGATTTGATTAGAGATTCAATATAAACTGAAAACAAATACTATTGATTACGTGCGAGTATCGTTGACCGACCAAAACGGAAAATCAATCGATTTTCGGGGTGAAACTGTGAACGTTAGACTCCTTATAAAAAATGGGTTTGAAGTTTAACGTCGATAAATACCCGATCAACAATGCCGACTCTCGCATTAAAGCTACGGTGGTTGATAGACACGCATCACAGTACACCAGTGGGGTCGTTCGTAAAAAAGTAAATAATATTAATAAAAAGCTGACATTGGAAAATCGCAAATTTTTACGTTTAATTGCCAACAAGTAGAATCTATTCCTTAACACTATGGACAGATCTTTCTTGGATGTGGGTGGGGCGTATGTCAACGAAACACCGATACGAGAAATGTTTTTACATTCTTTTTTACCGTTTTCGTCATCCGCGCTAAACATCGGTGATGAAATTCGCATATCCATTCAGAATCGTGATGCCTATACGTTACCGAGCGATAGTTTTATCTATATAGAGGGTAAAATAACGAAACCTGATGAACTTAAAACTGAGATATCTATCGCGCACAACGGTTTAACGAAT